ATGTTGGGAGGCTGCCTTACGACTCCCTGGGCACGGATAGCTGGGACCTCTGTCCCCGTGTGTTCCCGGACCCCCTGGGGGTCTCCCGGTATGATGGGTGCTCCCCAGGCACCCAGGCCTTATGGGCTACGTGTGGCTCCTACCAACCCCTAATACCATGCCCCAAGCCTCGCTGATGTGATAGGCGTTGGTGTGTCTCTCTATACGTACACGGCCCCCTTCCCTGGGGCCTTCTCTCATAAGGCGCTCCCCTCTTCGGGGCTCACCGTGCCCACCTTGGGTTTCCTAAAATGCTGCCCCCTTCTCTGGGGCCTTTTCTAGCACTGCCCCTCTTCTCTGGGGCCTCCTCTAAAAGTGTTGTCCCACTCAGGGACCCTTGCCCGCTTTGGGACTCTATATCGAGCCTCCGGTCTTTCAGGCCCACCGCGCTGCTTCCCCTTTTTTGGGACGCTGTGCTGCTATCCCCTTTCCCTGGGGACCACCGCAGCACCCTGTCCTTCTCTTGGGCACACCGTGCTGCTATCCCCTTTCCCTGGGGTTCACCGCAGCACCCTGCCCTTCTATTGGGTTTTCTGCAGCGCTAGCCAGTTACCGGGCTTGTCATGCTCCTCACGGGCTCCTCACATATTGCCCCTCTCGGGCTCGTTGTGCCCGCCTTGGGCTTCTTAATAGTGCCGCCCCCTCTTTGGGGCTCACTGTGCCCACGCTGGGCTCCCTAATAAAATCACCCCTCTCTCTGGGACTTGTGCCCACACTGGGCTTCTCTAGAGTGCACTCCCCCTTCCTGGGGCTTGCCACGCCCAGGCTTCCTAGTAGTGCCCCCTCCTGGGGCTCTTTGTGCCCACGCTGGGGCTTCTCAAAACACCCCTCTCCGGGCTGGGGTCTACACACCCCACAAGTTGCGCCCTTACTGGCGCTAGGGCCCCCACCCCTCTGGGGTCCCTATGAGGTTCAGCCGCTCCTCTCTGAGCTTAACTGACCCCACGACTCTGCCTTGCAACTCTCAGGGCCTAGTGCGCCCTCACTGGCGCCGGGGCCCCACTTTACTGTGAGCCCCCTATGAGGCCTCCTCCAACCCCTACAGCCTCACCCAAACCACCGGTATAATACAATGACAAAACAAAACCACAAGCCCCTAGGCTACAACATAACTATAAGCCACCTGGCTATAACTTGCATCATGGCTCAAGCTTCCAGAGCTATCATGAGCTATACTTGCAATCAGGCTTCTACCCATAACTCAACTGAGGGAGCTCCTGCCTTTCCAGCTGCTGGCAGGGAACTGCCAGCCTACCCTCAGCCCTGGGCTTTATAGGGGCCAGGCCCTGCCTCCTACAGGCCAGCTGACTCTCCTTAGTTGCCCCGACAACCCGCAGCTGTGCTCGTTACCCTGGCAACCCTCAGCTGGGCTTGTTATGTCCTGCTAGGGCTCGCTCTCTCTCTCCCTGGCAGTTTCTACTCCCTAGGAGCAGGAGCACTGAGGTGCGCTGCGACAGTACATAAAACAGTGAATGACATTGTGACATATTTTAAAGTTTCAGATGGCTTCAAGGCTAGGAGTGGAAATTACACATAAACTGATATAAGTGATTGGAAACCAGGTCAAATCTGTAACACAGAAGTTCAGTGCACATAAACTACTTTTAAAATGGCCAAAACGGCCAAAACTAGATTAAGATAAACCTGGATGGCTGCAGTATCAGACTTAAAGATTTAGGTTAAATTGGTTTATTGAACTTCTGTCCCAGATCCCCTCCAGATTCAAATTAACTCAGTCCTCCAGCATCCCAGGATGGTTTGCATCTCCCTGCAACCCCCTCTCTCCCCCACCCCCAACAGGGTGGGCAGGCTAGCCTTGGCCCAAGCTGTCTGCTCTAGCAGAGCAAGGAGGCATGCTCTAGAACAGGGGTGGGCAAAATATGGCCCATGAGCTGGATGTGGCCCGTGAGGCCATTCTATCTGGCCTGCAGAGCCCCTAAAAAAAAGTTGAAAATTAAAATTTATTTGTCCTTGGTTCCTGTTGAAAATGATAGGAACCAGGTGCAGTAGGACCCAGGGGAATCCTTGGCAGGCTTCTGCAACAGTAGGGCCCCCCTGGCCCCGCCCTGCCCCCCCCCCAGCCAGAAGCTCCAGGAGGGGTTTCTGGTCTGGGATTAAGTGGCTGCCCTGGCACAGGAAGCTCAGGTAAGGGCGGGGGTGGGGAAAGGGCAGGGGAGGAGCTGGTGCAGAGCGTGGGGAAAAGCGGCCCCTCCCTT